CTCTCTATCACACACATACACTCACTCTATATATGATTCTATATATATATATATATATATATATATATATATATATATACAAGTTATTTAATGAATTTGAACAACTGTGGATAATACATCACAAATGAGTGAATTAAGAAATTTATTAAATTAAAATCAAATCATCCATTTATTTAAAGTAAAAATTTATATAACTATTAATAGTATAGAAATCTCTTTTTATATAATTATTTATACAATAATTATTTATAATATCTAACAATAACTACTTATAGTATGGAATTTAAACTTATGTATATATATATATATATATATATATTAATTTTCATAGAATTTGTACTTTCACATATTATTTCACTGAAGTATAACATATTTTGCCTTTTAAATTTATCTTTTTTAAATAATTTTAAAATTTATCTGTACTATATCAGAATATTTAAATATTTAATGTAAAGATGCAGTTTTAATATTATAAACAAATCAATCAAGGCTTGAAGCTGTATACAGGTATAATCGTCTCTCAATGTAATATAATATAATAGTTATATTATAAAATAATATAATATAATATAATAGTTCGTACTAGCAAATATTGTTTTTCTTATTTTGTCCTTACCTTATCTAATATTGAAAATATTTTTGACAAAATGTTATTTAAATAAAATAAAAAGCAATTATTTATGAATATAATAAGAAGCAATAATAATGAAAACGGAGAATTCATCAGTCAATATATACTTTATATACGCTGGGAAATGGGCTGTAAATGTATCGCAAAAAATTATTTTTACATATTAAAATGTTATTTATTATATTATTAATTTAATTAAAAAAATATCTGAATTTATGAAATTCTTTCATTAAATTTATGTATGATCAACATATTAGTTTCTTCAACTATCTTACATTATTTTTTATGGATAAAAAAGTCGTTCTTAAATAACAAAGGTTTTATTAATTGTAATAGCGTTTTATATTATTTAGTAGTTTTCTGTATACTGAAGTAATATTGATTAAAAAGATAATAATTGTTTTGTAGTTCAATCGTTAATATCGCATACATTTGTAATTTACCTAGATAATTTATAGATAATAAAAGTTAATATACCGAAAATTATTTATTTATAACAAATGTGTATAAGAGACACGCTGATAATGAAAGATAAGAAATACGTTTATTTAATCATGATAATGTTTAAGCATAGTTTTAAATAATATAATAATGATAATATTTCTTGTTTAAATTTAAATTTCAACAATTTTAATATTAACGAGAATAAAGATAATAAAGTAGAACGAATAAGACAAATTGATTGTAAAAATAATCAAATTTTCTTATGCATATAAATAAGTTATATGCTATGCTTTTTTTACACTCTTCAATCTAATATATTAATACAAGAATCTTTTACTTTCTTACAATTATTATATATATTTTTCTTAAATATCTTAATTTATTACAATTATTGATGTGAATTTTGAAGTTTATACGGGATAAGGATTTCTAAGTTTTACTTGTTTTATTCAATTCTTACAAAGTAAATCTATTGATTTTCATCTTAGTAACAACATTCAAAATATACGTTACAAGTAAAATATTTTCATAAAATATAATTTCAAGTAGTTGTAGTTGGCATTAAAATTTATCCCTCGAATCTTTTATAACGGCCAGCCTGCATAATAGAATTTTAACAATAAATAAATGTTTGTTTTAAAGTTATGTGCATGTAAATATTTATGTGATTATAGTTATAAAATATATCCTTTTTTGATTAAGAAAATTATAAAATTTCATAAAATAATAATTAAACATATGTGAAAAAAGGATTAAGAATTTGATTCTTTAATATTAAATTAATCATTAATTATAATGTTTAAGAACGTTTGTCGATATTATTATATAAGATATTTATTACCTATTCATATTCAGTATTAGATATTGGCTGAATTTATGGAAAATTAAATAATTTCAAATGAAATTTAAAAACACAATGTAAGCAAAATAAGTAAAATACTTACCTCTAGAGGTTTGCAATTATTTTCACAACAATTATGAAACTCTTTCGTTGGATAAGCTGAAATTAAATGTAAATTATAAAATCCATTGAATTGCGAATAAAATAAATATTGAGTTTAATTAAATACTAGAAAAATATATTATTAAAATTTGAACAAATTAGAAATATTAATATGAGAAAAATGATCAATTAATTTAAAAAATTTTGTAACAAATAGTATGTCTTACCTCTACAATCTGATTTACATTGTTTTTCAGAATTGTATATCATTTCATCTGTAAAACAATATGATATATTAGTTCTTGGAGTTTGGAATAGAATTAGAATGAATTAAATATAGAAAAGATGAATAATTTAATATGTTTAAAAAAAAAAAATTAGAACTTAAAATGTATTTAAGAACAATAGATTAAAGTTTATATTGCTCTCAGATAATTTTGTGTATTGCAATTTAAGCTTAACTGTTCATTACATCATTTAATGTTATTTGAATAAAGTGAAATGTAAAATAATTTCTTTTGTACACGGTAGATTAATGTTTAAACATACATGCAATTATTAATAGATTTATGGGTAATATTGTATAATGGATAAGAAATTCTTAAAAATTTTTGGGTTTTTATATATTTTTTTGTCTTTCTATTTAATATTGAATTATTAAGAATTTTGTTTAATGTACTCAGTTTATTAACATAATGACAACTTGTACAATCAATATACATAATATACTTATGAAAAAGTTTCATAAGATAAAAAAAAGAAAAAAAAAACGAAGAAAGTAAAACACTTATAATAATAATAAAAAAAAAAAAAAAAAAAAAAAAAAAAAAATTTCATTTAAATTTACTGACTTTCATTCACATCAAATTTACAATTATCGTGATAAGAAAATTAATGATTTATATTATTTTAATGAATTTATCAAAGTAAAATAGAAATTTGAAATGTTATAGGAATGATAAATTTGTATTTCATTATAATTACTTAATATGTAAAATGAATAGATGATCGATAAACTTGTTAATATTAACTTTTAAATATTATTAACTTACTGTTAGTAGTTTTTACGACGCATACATTATTACAATGTTTTCGTTGCCTGTGGGTGTGGGCCTCTAGATATTTACAAATAAGCACATTTTAATCAAAATTAATTTTAGTACGTTAATAAGTACGGTAATTTTATCGTATAAATTTATAATTATTCTGCATGTTTTAAACGCTATTAAGCATTAAAATTGATTTGCTGCTATTGTTATTAGGAATTGTTTGACGATGAAGATTTAGTTTACAAAAATTGGAGTTGTATTCTATTTTTAAAATCACATGTAAATTTTCATCTTAATTAATTATAAAGTTATTAAAATTTTGTTTAAAAAATGATTTTTAAATAGTATAAATAAGAAAATATGCCTTTGAAGGCTAATTTTTGTTAAGGATTAAATAATTTCTTACGCACACACGATTGCTGTAATTAAGTCACTCGTGCAATAGATTTATCTTTACATTCGTACGTTTATAAAATATATCGACAATTTTTTATTAATAATCGGTAATTAAATGTTTTGGGAAAAATTATTATACTGAAATTTAGAATATTATCAATAATATGAAGAAAAAAAAAATTTTTAAGCCTTAAAAAAATTAATATTCTTGAAAAATTTACAAAAATTATATTTTGTAAGAACGTTATGCGATTGTATCAGTTTAATTGCTGAATAAATAGCACATATCGATTTTTAGCATTTTTTTTTTCTTTTTAGAATTTTACTCCTATAATTCCTCAAAATAATCTCTAAATTATCTCGATAGTTTTTAAGATTCTTAATCGAAGCTCTGCTTCAAGTTTTCGTCCGATATAATCTATCAGGCAGGCTATACATATATTTATCGCAGTATTAATTATTATTTACGAATTGTTCAAGTGTTTTTCAAGCGATTCTAAAAATTCTAAAGTTTTGCTAATTTATTAAACTATTGCTGAATATCGTTTGTTAGGTAAATTAATTGTTTGATATAGTCTTAGGTGTTTTCTTAAGAAGCGAACATCAGACAATTGTCGATATATTTTCGTAATAAATGAAATTAGCTATCATAATTTATGTTGCACTCGCTTAAAATGGCAGGCTAGCTTTATCACAAAATCTTATGTGTGCTGTTATTTATAAATGAATTAATATTTCATTAGTTGTATATTTTTATTTTTGATTTCGACATGCTTTTTTATATGTTCATTTCTTCGTTATTAGTTAGATCAAATATATTTACGTTTTACTAAGATCAAGCATACGGAATATATAGTTTTCAATGCCACTTTCTCAACTATTTAAAATAGAGATTTGAGTTCGATTCTGTTTTATGTAATTTGTTTTTTTTTGTTTTTTTTTTTTGTTTGATTTAAGTAATTTATAAATGGATGTTACGATTAAATAACATTAAAAAGTAAAAATTTTTTTATGCCATCAACGCAGAAATTCGCCATCACATTGTCCAATTTATATAGCTGTTATCTTCATTGTGGCCTTAACATAATATTAATCATTTCTGTTTACATTAATTGTTTATCTTTCATTCGACCTTCAGCCCCTCCTCCACTGACTTTTTATATAGGGGTTTTCGCCCCATTGTACTCTTTAACTTTTGTTTTTTTGTTTGTTTGTTTGTTTTTTTTTTTAACCGCTTTTATTTCCAATAGTTTATTGTATTTATCGACTATCATTTTTCAATAGCTTTCACATTCGAAATTATACTATACTTTTTTCTATTTTACTCACCTTTTTTCAAATCTTTTCATGGCGCGTATCACCGAATTTTGTTAATAACTTTAGTTTAGTTAAATTAAGCAAGTTTTAGTTAAAAATGATTGTTTCAGTATATAACGGATGTTGACAATTAATGGATATTATTAAAATTCCTCTCCTTTAATTTATGTTAATGATAATTTTGTTTGTTTTAATTGACTTTAGAATGAACTTCGTTCACATACTGCGAGCTATATGAATAAATTATATAGACTGAAAAAGTATAAAGCTTATTACGATCAAACTCGGAGTCTGATAAGTCTAAATAAAAATAATCTGTCTGGCATTCTTTTGAAATTTGAGAAGTTGAAGAATAAATTAAAAAGCTTGGTGAATAATTTTTACTCGTGAAAAAAAAAAGAAAAAGATTTTTCACAGGAAATCACGTTTATTATCTATTTTTGCAATTTTTGCGCATCAAATGCGCAATATACACGCAAAAACGCAAATATACACCTACCTATCTATCAATTTTGATTTTTCCATTTTCTGTTTTATCGATCGACAGTTCTACGATGCTTTGATTTGCATTCGCATTTCTCTATTTAATCCATACTATACATTGTAAATGCTAAACTATGTGAATTTGATAAATACTCTCTCTTCATATCTCTACATTTATGTTATAATCTTTATGTTGATGTAACCTAATGCTACCGGTTATAGTTTGTATTCTACAGTGTAATTATCTTAATATATTATTGTGGCATTAAAAAAAAATGGGCGATGTCAATTCGAGAATTACTGGTCATAATGAGCTTTAATCACTGCTATTTATATCAGCAATTAAGATTAATAATCTGTTTTTAATAGCAGATTATATAATACTACATTTCATGTCATATAATTATATTTCAGAAAGTTTATTATAATCAGTGATTGTTTATTGTATGGATTTTCGAAAAAGGATTTTAAATTCTTTTACAATTTTTATGGGATCTTTATGTATAACTTTTATCCTTCCTAATATATGACTAATAAATCATTTGTTTTATAGATTTATCCATTATTTTTGGAATATAATAAAAAGTGAATTTCAAAATAAATTTTATATGCAAATTCTATATATATATATATATATATATATATATATATATTAATTTAAATATTTACTTATCAATTATCATAATTAATTTACTTTTATAAATAAATATATATATAATAAATTAAAATATATTTTACTTTTGCAGCACTCCAAGCAGATATCTTTATTAAATAGTACATCTCCTGTATAACGAAATTAACTTTATTAGTTATTGTATTTAAGAAAAACTTATATTAATTAATATTAATTATACCTGTAACGATTAAACTGTAGCTAACAACTAGTAACAAAATAAGTACAGAAAACTTCATTTATTCTTCTTTTTTTAAATTTTCTTTAAACACTTTAAACTCAACTATTATTTAATTCTTTTTTAAATAGCAAATATATAGTATATAAAGTAAGATTAGTAGTTTATGTTCATGAATTAGCAATTAATTATTGATGAAATCATAAAATAATTAATGACGTCAGTGGAGTATATTTTCCGAACACGTAAGTAAGAAATATATATATATATATATATGTATATATTGCTTTTACGGTATTTCACATTTATCGTATAATTAATAAATAATTTAAATTTATTAATAAATCATGTGCTATACTTTGTATCAAATTTTTTGTATATATCATTATCACTTGATACAGATGGTTTGAGATTCATTTGAAGCTTTGATTAGCGATATGTAAAATTTTCCTAAAAACACGAATTACTTATAAATATGTATGCAAATTCTTTTTTTTATTCAAATTAATATTTATTAAAACTTAAAAATTAACCGTGTCATTAATTATAAAAATGACTTTATTGTTTAGATTTTACTATTGCCCCATTACTAACGTTTTGCGACATTATTTTTCTTATTTTACAATTATTCATTGTAATTAAATTTACTTGTTTTTAAAGCTCAGATTTTTACTACGTCAAACAAAGCGTGAGATCATTGATAGTTTAGTAATAGTTAAATTATTTACATTGATTGAGCAATTAGACAAAAGATTATTGCTTCGTGCTTTCCTATGACTATAATGTACAAAGCAATTTTTTACTATAAAAATTTTAAATCATATGGTTTGTACTTATTGTGTTAAAAACGAGTATTTCCGGTTTAGCTAATAGAAATTTGATGCTATTGAAATTAGTTTATTTGTTCTTGTTTATTAGTGTATCTTCATATTGTGCTTACATTTCCGCTTTTTTCTTAAATTATATGCAACTTTAGGCATCAATTGTCGATATTACCATTTAACTTTAGAATATTGCTTATTTTTATTTTAAATTACCAAAACATATCATTTTCACTAATAACGTCTTTGTCTTTTAATGCCTACATATTTAAACTATTTCGTATAAAATCTTTGAGAGCGAAATTTGATACTTTTTTTCGAAAACTGTAATTCCATTTAGAGGATGTGAGTAAACTGAAATAAAGTAGTATAAAGAAAATTTTAGAAATACCTTTTTCTTTCTCTTATTCTCTATAATAAGAATACCAAATCATGGATAATTCAATTATAATCTTGACGTAATTTGAATTTTGACGTTAGTTATATAAATAAAGTTTTATGAATAATTTTAATAATTAATTATTTTATATCCCAAATAAGATAATTGATAAATAAAGAAAGTTGAGCTTGATTATTTGAATCTCTTGCTTCTAAGACATATAATATTCTATTAATGTCCATGTAATTTCTATGCATAAATAATGAAAGTAGCTTCTAAAGAAATACTATAACTTATTGAAAAGATATTATTTTATTAAATTTTCTTTTATTCTGTAAACAACATTACGAGCTCTGTAATTTGGTAATAGGGTACAGCATAATAGCCAACATAATACTATTAAAGCAAATTATTCAATTACAATTTTAGTTATTCATATCATTCAATGTGAGAGTGCAAATAGATATAAATACTTAACAAAAATTTGATCAAAGTATTTGTTTAGCTGATATAATAAATTTCAAACTATATGAGATAATTAAATTTTAAGATATGGTTTATGAATATAAAAATAAACATTCTATGAATCAAACTTATATGCATAATTAGACAATGAAACTCTAAATATAAATATATACTTATGTTAGTAATATCATAAGTTAATTAAAATGTTTAAACATATGTAAATTGTTTCTCCTCTTGAAATAGCAATTTCTTTTCATTTATTTTCAATCAGTTTCAACATTCAAATTGTGATTGTCGGTTTAATCCTTCCATATATATATATTTATATTTTTTTTTTTTATATATAGTATGAATAGAGTTTAAATTATTTCATTTTCTTAAAATTTAAAAAAATATCAAAAACTCCAGGAGGGAATGCAATTTATTAAAGGTATTGAATTAAGTCATTTTTAAAGTTGGCGTTTTATTGTGTCGATTGTGAAAACAAAATCATATTTATTATAATTATTTCAGCATTTCTTATTATACTTATTGAAAGAAATATATATTTTTTTTTTTTATTCAATAAAATTATTTATGTTATAAATATAATAAATATTGGAAAGTATTAGTTAATTTTGACGTAATTATAAATACTTTTATTTCTATAGATTCATTATTGCTTATAATCATTAATTTCAAATTTTAGACAATTGTAACATTATCAGGACATATTTACAATTATCGAATTAATGAAAAAAATTTAATAAATTATTATGTTTTGTTGTATTTACATTCAAAGAATCTATTTACAGTTTAAGCAAATATTTGTATAATGTAAGACATGTAAATTTTTGAATAATTAATTACAAAATTCTTTATTATTGATTTTTTTATTATAATGATATTTCAATGTATTTAATTAATAAAAAATAATTTGTTCAATGTTGTTTTTCTATCTAACGCGAATGTTTTATATGTATGGTGATTTGTTTTATGAAATTAAAATTTACGTGTATATTCATTTTAAATATATTAATAATGTATTTCTACTAATTTTGCAATGAACAATATTGATATGTAAAAACCTTTAAGTAGCGTTAAACATCTTGTTTTTAAATTCTTGGTAGTAAATATTTTTATTATTTTTACAATTGCTTTTCCTATTACTTGCACTCATTATAATTATTTTTTTAAATTGCTAATATCAGTATATAGTAAACAAACAAAAAAATCCTTTATATATACATTACTATAAAATTATTATTGAAATTATAAATTAAATAACAAACTTGTTAAAATCTATTAGCATATAATTTGTATAAAATGTCAAACTTAGTTATATTAAAAAATCCTTTAAAACATTAATATAGTTATTGTTTATTTATTTTTTCTTCGTATAAATTGTAAATTGTAGTAATTTAATTAATTATTCCTAGTTTGATAATTTAGGATCTTTTGACAATTAGTTAAAAAAATCGATTAACAATAGTAAATATCAAATGAACCAAATGTATTTTAAATCATATTTGTTTATACACTACTTTCCGATAATTCTTACTTCTATTATTAATTCGATTAATTATTAATATTTTTCTTTTTCTTTTGAATTTAAGCGAGAAAAATGATTCAATAAATAATTAACGTGCATAATTTTGTTAAGGATGTAAATTGGAAAAATTCCGTTTATAAACCATTTATATTAGAAATAAATTGCTTAAAGTTCAGCGGTATTTTTCATGTAAATTTTATAGGTAAATAAATCTAACTAATTAATCAAATTATTGTTACCATTAAACCAATTGCATATGAAATATTATCGAATGAAAATAACAAAATTACTTATATTTTAGTGAAAATATTATTCGATTTTATTATTATTACTTATTATTATATATAATTTGTTTCTTTCTTTATAATTAATTCTATTATATTTAATGTACATTAAGATCAAGCTTTTGGATACAAATTTTTAGTAAACACTCTTATTAATTAAATATATATTAAAATATAATAATGTTTTTAAAAATAAAAAAATTCTTTGAATATTTATGAGATAAAAAGTATTTGTGATTATTGTCATAAACACAACTTGATTCAATTATATTTGCTTCTAAATTAAATATATGCGATATTGTTTTAGTAGTTAACAATATTTTTCAGAATTTACGACTGACTATTAAAAATAACTTTATCTATTCCCTGTCAAATTCATCACAAGTGTAGCTCATGGATTTATCGTATATTTAAAAAAATATATATCATATCCCAATATTTAATTTATAATTGAATAGAATAAAATGTTTTACTTTAATTACATTATTCTACTTTTTGTATCGTTCAAATTATTTTTCGATAAAATGAAATATTGATATATTTTTCAATGTCAGTGTACTATAAAGATAAAAAGTGATTTTACATATTTTACATGTATATAAGTTTATACGTTCATTGTTATAATTTATAATACTATTATATAATATATGAAATTTGATATAATATTCATGAAATTTTCGGGATTATGTATATTTTGTCATTTAGCACTACAATAAATTACGATACTAATGTTAATACTCAAGTCACTAGTTATTTAATTTAAGATTTATGATTTTATTATTACGCGTATTTACCAATTTAAGAATTTATCTAAACTACACGATATGTATGTAAATTCAATTCGCATTTGCATTTTACAAACGAGACGACAAAGATATTTGAAGATTATAAGAGCTTTAGGTTTCAAAGCTCAAAAACTTTTAGGCATTGTCTTTTATCATTAATCTAGACAATTTGCAAAGAACTATAATTATTATTGTGGACAGACAATCAGTTCCCTACTGATTGCGTTATTATTACCTATTAAAAATTTAAATAAAATATATTAGAATTATTAATAAATTAGCATGTATTTGAAGTTATTATGATGAAAAATAAACAATGTTATGAAAATCTAAATCTACAGACTCATTGTTGTTCTTACAATTATTATAGAAAAACAGTTCTGTACAAGTATGAGTATTGAAAAAAGTTATCATTATCGTTTATCGATAACGATATGCTTATACAAATAATAAAAATAAATTTTAGACGCTTATTTTACCGATGGGTAATTCATAATTACTACAATCTAAATGTGAGTATCAATAGTTCTGACAAATCAAGTGCTGAAGTGAAGAATTCGTATTACTCGGAGGATAATATAAAGTCTAATGTATTTTGTTTTGCAATTCATTAATTGCATTAACTTTGCTTAATTAAAAAATGTAATATAACGGCTATTTAGTAGTTATATAAAAAAAAATTTTATCAAGATAAGATTTCATGATGAAATAGTAGATAATAATTAGATAATATAAGGATATTAAGATATTTTTAGTTTATTACATCACCTCACTTGTACTTTATATATTAATTTGTGCTTCATGCGTAAAAGTTAATTTAATCGAATAAACAATCGATTGTATTATTTCAAAGAAAAAATGCCTTTTGTGAAAAAAGTAGTAAAACCGTATTATGATTTATGCATGAATAATGTATTTCGATAGATTATTTTAGAACATAACAAATCCAAACAATATGTATACATATACATATACATATACATATATATTGTTTTGATACCTCTAGGTATATAATATTTATGAAAAATTTTATAATATACGTTAGAACATATATATATATATATATATATATATATATATATCTGATCTACCTGACTTTTCGAATGAAGAAAAAATTACTTCTTTAATAAATAATTCTGAGCATACTATTAATCGACTATCGACATCACTTTTTGCCTTTTAGTTATCGTCCTCCATTTATTGATAATTATCGTTGCGTGTTGTAAAATTATACTTTAATACAAAGATTATTTTATAACAAGATATTAAGTAAATATTGTGCTAAAACTATAGTGTTATTGATATACTAATATATTTTTATTTCAATAATTATTTATGATTGTCGTATATATTTTTTAAGTGTTACGGTGAATTTATTAACCTTTCATGATTGTCTTCGTGTGGTTGATAATTTTCGAAAATTAATATCAATTTTCATATTTGTTTGTTACAATATTTGAATATAAAATATTTAAATCATTTTATTATACATATGTTTCTTAAAATAACACGCTTCTATAATTATACAAACTGAAATTAATATTTAAATAAATTGGTACACATTTTTCCATTCACTATTTCATTTAAATTATCTCAATGTGAATGTATTATTTAATCTAAAATTCGAACGTAATTTATGTATTATATAATAATTTATAATTTATTTTGTGTTATTTTTTTGTATTAATTTCTTGTTTACCAAACATTATTAAGACTTTAACCGTAAACCATCATTATGTTTAAAAAATATTTAGTTTATTATTAATGTTAAGTTTTCATTAAGATTGCAACGCATAGAATAGAGTCGTTTAATGTTTATTTTGATACGAAAACATACTTAATAAAATATAAAATAGATATTTTAATTTTGTTAAGATTTTTTAATAGTTTTTCATAACTTTATCACAATCAATATTATTTAATTTTTCATAGTTTGTTTCGAAAATCAATAAGAAAATGAATATGTAATTTGATAACAAGAAAATTCTAGAATATTCGTAGAATTAATATAATCGTTAAAGTTTGATGAAATTAAATTTGTAAATACGTTTCTTTTTGATTCGAAGAACATTATTATAAATAAAATGGATTGATGACGATAATCATAATAAATATCGTTGATTTCAAATAATTTTTTTACTTTGTACGATTGGCTAGTACATTGAAATTTATTATATTAGATAATAAAAGATTAAATTTTCTATTAATAATTCATTAATAATTTTGATGTTTTCAGTTTAAATATGAGAATTGTTTGCTTTGTGGCGCCGTTATGCATATTATTTTGTAAGATAATATTTTTTAAACTTTTTTATGTGACGTATTGTAAAAAAAAAAAAAAAAAAAAAAAAAAAAAAAAAATACTGCGAACAATGAAATGGATTAATATTGCTTGAACCAAATGTTTTTCAATTAGGTAGACAATTTAGTTTTGTAAGACCTTTAGAGGGACCAAATGTTAGAAATGCAAGGGCAAACGAATTTCCTTTCGTCGTATCTATTATGCGATTAAAGAGCGGACAATACCTTCAACCGGAAAACGATCATGTTTGTACAGGATCATTGATTACTCTTAGGGACGTTGCAACGGCTGCGCATTGCGTTGTTAATGAAATGAAAATTTCCATAAGAATAATTATTGGATCAACTGATATTAGACTCGGACAAAGGTATTATCCATTCTGGTGGTTGACATATGATGTATGGGCACATCGTAAGGGCATACAGCCTCAAGTGGATTTTAACGATATCGTTAATATACGGGTGATTCTTTTAAAAATTTCAACTTATTAATTAAACTATTGTTTGAAAAACAGACTCCTCGAATTTTATTGTTTTAAATATATACTGTACTATGGGATTTTGTAGCTAACTGCAGCGGTTCCAAATAGTATCGTTCCAGCCGAAATTCCAAATATACCGAATGCGAGACTTAATAGATTACAGGTTATAGCCGTAGCATGGGGTATATTAAATGGCACTCACACTAATCCATTCTTAAAAGCTGCTAACTTACAAGTTATATCATACCGAAGGAGTTTGGAAATAATAGGAAGTTCATATCAACCTCTTGATATAATTGAAACACCGTCTTTATTAACTTACATGCAACCTCATGTAATATTAAGTTATGTAAGTATATCATTATTATATAAGCATAGGTAGAATTTTTTCCATGTTGCTTTAAATATTGATTGAATTGAAATAATTTGTGCGACGATGAATAGTGTATTTAAGTAAATAGGGATTCAAACGAATTTTTATATTTCGAATTTTTATAATAGATATGTCGATTGCTTGAATCGTGTTTGAGAAATTTTAAACTATAAAAATGCTTAAAGTATAAAGAATTATTCTAAGATAAATTCTATTCTATCGTGAATTCATTTTTGTTTCCATGTTTCACGAAACACAAGCGCACGCAAGCTTCACACTATTACGTTTAATTATATTATATTTAATTTGAAACGTACAATTGTCATAATAGTGTGCTGTTTCTACACAATTATCATGAAAATTATATTAAATCTTTCATACATTATAGAACAAAGTTATGCAACTGATTTCAAAGAAAAATCCTTTCGGAAGAACGTATTTTTATTAATAATATACTGTATTGCTTAATTTCTACCCATTGATCAGGCTCGTTGCTTTTGAAATATTTAACTTTTCAAAGTATATTGAACTCGATATGAAAAATTATACATTTCATTCTCAAAGTCAAAATTTAGTTTACTAAATTTAAATGTAAAAGCTATTTTTTAAAGAGAAGGCAAATCTTAAAGTGCCAAAAGTATAATTCTCATTACAATTACAAATTTAACCCTATGATACATTGAACTGAAAGATTCTTTCTTTTTTATTGCGCATTTTAGAATGAAAATTGTTGATAAACTAAGTAAGAAATAATTTGAGCGAATTCATTTTTTTTTTTAGTTTTTTCTTTTTTTTTAAGCTTTTTATCGTAATTTTTTTTTTTTCTTCTTCTTTTTTTCTTTTAGTTCCAGTCGTATAACTTGCAATAGTTAGAATGTGAAAAATAAAGACATAAAAATACATAATTAAAGCGAGTATTTGAGAAATACTTTTGAAGTAAAATCGATGCTTTTAACTGATTATTATTATCACAAGTAACGCTAAAAAAAAATAATGTTCAAATCAGATCTAAATCAATCTGCTCAAATATCAAAATGCTAATGTTGAATAATGAAATTTGATAACAATTCAGAAATACTATGTCGATATGTTTAATTGATTACATATAGGCCAGAAATAGCATTAAGTGAAAGTTTTCATTTTTTTCAAACTTACATTTACTTACATTTACATTTTAAATGAAAAATCGTACAATAATATTTTCAAAGTTCTTATTAGAATTGACAATGTGATCATTATTTAATATTAATATGTAATTCATGTTTTATTCTTATAAAAATATTTAAGCGTAATAATAATAATAATAATAATAATAATAATAATAATAATAATAATAATAATAATAATAATAATAAATATCCGTTTGATATATCTTGACACTGCTACATTACACCTGCAAATATGTTACTTTCAGGGCGATAGTGGTGGTCCACTATTATATCGTCATCAATTAGTCGGAATTCATTCTGGAGTTTGTCCAAAGAATCAAGAAGTTGATAATAATCATTTAATTAACGTTCACGCTTCAATGCATTATTATAGAGCCTTTTTTCTGGACGTTAGGTATTCCGGAAATTAATGTACTTCGCCACATGTTGATAAATAGTATATATGTAAAATTATTATTTTATATAAAAATATTCTATTATTCAATAAATTACGCTTATTGAAATTTCAATTACGAAAAATAAGTCTCGGAATTTATTTATTTAAAGTGTAATAATGTTTATCACATCAAAAGAAACTATCTTATTTGTTTTCTTAGCTGATAATACATTTCTGATAATATATTTCACTATTGATAAATTATTATTATTATATTTCATAAATATAGCTTATCATAAATTTTTGTATATATATATATATGCATGCATGTGTATAATGTGTATATGTGCATATTAATGTACTGAGTATCAATATGATTAATAAAATAAAATTATTTTTGTAATAAATAATATATATTAAGGATATGTTTTTTTTTTTTTTTTTTTTTTTTTTTTTTTTACAATAATATTAAAAAATGGTATGCAGAAAAGGTAAAATCGTTTTTAGTCCTATATCAGGTATTTGTATTAATGAAATGCAAATTAACGCAATCAACAATATTTATATAACTTACAATAATCCACCAATGAGTTGATTATATCTTCCAGTACTCTTTATTCCTTTTCTTCTCATATTTTCCTTATTATGTTATTTTATTCCAGCGGGGGTTCTTTCCCCATTTCCCAACATAAGATAATACTTCACCTTACCTAATAATACATTAATAATATGCGCATTATATAATAATAAACTATGCCACAGGCTAATCAAGTTATCTGGCAAAGGATTATTAACAAGCTGATATTAACAAAGGATATTATTCAATTTATTAAAAAACAAAAATAATCTTCCACAATTGATAAATATACACGATTTTATTCAATACCGCAACAGATTTTTTTTTCTGAATATAATATTTTCTATAAATAATTAAATAAACGAATAATTTACTAGTTTCATATATTTTACATTTATAACTTCTTACACTTATGTAAAGTCATTATAATAAAATATATATTATTGAAATTAAATAATTTATGCTATAATTTGTATTTTTGATACTTTTACTTTAATTAGAAAAATAATCATTTTCTATATAATACTATATAATTTAATATTTATTTTTATCATCCAATGACATTTGAATCAAAATTTTATTTTGCATACCTTAGATATCATGTAAAAAAATAAAAAAAAAAAAAAAAAAAAAAATCTGACGCAATTATTTATCTAAAGCCTTATTTGATTAGATTATATATTGGACAGTTAGAAGAAGATAGAGTTACTTATTCATTGTTCGTTTTGAATTAAGAAAAGAATATCATTTCATCGGTAATGACATTTTTGAAATACTTATATATGGTTAATTAATTATGAATTATGCTGATAATTAGTAGATGTCATTGCATGATTGTAAGTTAAAACTTTTAAACTAATGTCTTTCTGTTGTATCAATTATTTTTAACAATATTATATTATGAATATTAAGACACACACCAGAAAAATATTTAATTAACAAACATTGACTTTAATTCTCATTAGCTTTGATCAAGTTCTTTCAGAAATAATACAGAAATAAAATTATAAATTAATTGTTAAAGCAAAAAATGTTCAATACATTTAATACAATAATATCATTTACCTGCTGAATATTTGACGATTTCCATTGCGTTGCCTCCATTTATATTCACCGTTAAAGCATAATAAATAATAATAATTCCATTCCTCTGTGTACTACACATTTATCAAATTATCGTTCATAAATAGCTCATTCTTACCAGTCCTACTGTAAGATGCATTGTTCATGCAGTTGCTTAAAATAAAAAACAAAACAAAAAAAAAACAATAAAAAAAACAACAACAACAACAAAAAAAAACAAAAAAAAAAACAAACCAAAAAACAACAACAAAAAAAAAACAAAAAACAAAAACATTGATGTACAGTATTAGTATAACATTAATTAATGCAGCTTTTGTATTTTATATCTAATAATAAAAGTGTAAATAGTAATAATGAAAATGATTGAATTTTAATTTTATTTATAATTAACAAAAGAATTCTGATACATTTCATGCGATTTAAACATTTTGTAATATATATTTTTATTTTTATTATAATTTTGTTATTTATTAAAAAATACAAATATAGATTTTTCTTAACCTAAAGTGATATTAAGTATTAAACTTAATATTTAGTTAAGTTCTATCCGAACTCATGACATTCAAATAAAAGTGTTTGTAAGCTCGCAAAGACGAGTGAAGATTTATTAAATCAGGATGTATTTCTCCTAATATATTTGGCAAACTTCCTGAAGTAATACCTATAAGTCGGTTTCCATATAATAACGGCGCACCACTATCACCCTGAAATTTTTTTTTTTTATATTTGTTATAAATTTAATAGCTCCCATCATTAATATTAAATGTGTATGAATAAATAAAAAAAAAAAAAAAGAATGAAAAAAGTTGGACAAAAATAGTTTACAAATATTTATATACGAAGCTTCCGTAAAAAAATTGGCTCTATTATCTCATTAAGATTATTAAGATTATTAGTAAATAAGTTGGAATTTACAATTTTTACATCATATATATATATATATATATATATATATATATATATATATATATATATCTCCAATCGATTAAAAATTTATCCGTATTAATTGTTTACTTTAATACAATTATAAACATTATAATTATTATTACGATTATAAACATAAATTATAAAAAAAATTACGATTAAAATATTACACATTGTTGTACATAGATAATATATATTTCTTTCATATGTGTATTAATTTCAATATTCAATATGTTGTAAATAATTACTTGGTTAATTATTAGCTAAAATTAATACAGAAAATGATATTTAAATTTCAAATTGTAATTTGAATATTTTATTTTATTTTATTTTATTTTATAATAAAACGTGCCTTATAAAAAAAAAAATCTTTTATTATGTTTAACGCTCACTTACTTGGTTCAATATAACATATGGATTTCCTGCAGAGCATAAGTACTGATATTCATTGAGAATAACATTTCTCTCAATGATGTTTCTTATTCGGCTCTTACATTCCCTATTTGATAAGACGTTTAAAGTAGCAGTTTTTAACAACGGACTGGGTTGAGTATTATTTGGAGAGCCCCATCCTACCACTCTTACCTCTGCTCCGTATAATCTATTATTCGGCACATCGAAAAATCGCACTGGAATAATTGAATTTCTTACAGCATTCGTTAACTGTAAAGAGACTGCTGTTATTTGGATAATTAAAGTATTAGGATATTAGGAATGATTAAGCGAATACGCGCATTATAAAATCATAATATTAGGTGTTAAATGTTTGCTTAGATAGGTAATTTACTCGTATATTGGCGATGTCATTTCTGTCGGTGAATCGGGATTGTAGACGATGACGCGCGATCCACTGATCATAAGATAACCACCAAAGTATTCGATATTTTTGACCTTCTCCAAAATGAAGTGACCCGACTGAAATTTGAATAGCTGTCTGATGTTCCCCCTCGATACAATGTTCAGAAATCGCAACATCTGTTCTAGTTATGAGCGTTCCTGTACATAAATGGTAAAATTGTAGGTTGTTTCGATTATCAGCAGCAACTTGTACCATTGATACGACATAAGGGAATTCGTTTCTTTCCGCTAATCTAACTTGTTGTCCAAGCATGGGCTTCGTATCGATAAAAGTATACCGATTACCTATTTAAAATCAATTACAACGTTTGTTCATTAATTTTCCATCTATTGATCGGCGAACAATGACTTTTACTTACAAAGTATTAGAAGCTGGATTGAGAGGAAATAAATATTCATCGGCATTTTCTACATATATTCGTTCAATGTAGGGATGTTTATTGCAATGGTCGATATTCCGGGAGACTTTGACGGATCGTAAGCACTTCGTTTCGATGCGAGACCAGTGAGTCGATAAATAATTGAAATTTAGTGTATAGAGTAAGTAGCACTTTCTCTATATCTGTATGGAAATAACGTTATGTTGTTATATATGTTGTTTGTCGATTAACGAAGATTCTCTCTATGTCGCAATGTATATGCAAGTCATACAGATTTATAATTCTTAATATTGAGAATTATTGAGCAGTCGGTAAAGCGTAAAAGACATCTCGAGCATGGACTGGTTTATAATTACATGCGTGGCGAGCGTAATTTATTAGGTAAATTATTAAAATTAAAAAAATTAGTCACCGAGTTGTTAAATATTGTAATGCAATTTAGATGATTGAAGATGATTTAGATGAATTTGAAATGTCAAAGTACTTTTTGAACGGAGAATCACCGTTTTTATCACCTTCGCCTAATTAAATGGATAATCAATTGTAATGGATTTATTCGGCTAAATCGCAATAACTGCTCGAGCTTGTTAATTTTAATCTTTATCAAAAATATTGACCAATGTAGACCAATATGCTGCCGTCAAGAAATTCATAATTCAAACAACGCGTTCTTTTAATACTAACGGATGGAGGATAAAAGGATAGTGTTGCGGTTTTAAGGGAAGATTGGAGTAACGTAATGGCGTGATCGAATTTGTATTCTAATCGTGTCCTTCTACCTGTCATTCTACCCCCTATCTAACGAGTAAATAAATAAGTGAGAAAAGCCCGGAGGGCGTTGTTGCTTCATTTATCTAACGACTGCTCTCCTTGTCCGATTAACCCCGCTCAATAGCGACAGCGTTTAACGTAATCGTACTTGGAAAGCAAGTACAATCGAATTATCGCATCGATTAATAAAAACGGCTGTGGTCCATAAAAATAATATTTATTTTAAATCATTCGATTTCTTATGAAATTCTGCAGTTTCTGCTATATGCAACAATCATAAATCTTAATTTATATTGTATGCCATGAGCATTGTACCATTGTACATAATTATGTATACATAAAATATTATATACATACAAAGGAACGCGCGCGTAAAGTCCGAAGATAACTTGAAGAATATAATTTGTAATAAATTGTTTGTATTACAGTTTCGTTGAAAGAAAAATATTCCCATCGCGAAAAAATATTATCATAATATATTTACATTATAATGATACTAATGAATATTATCGACTTACTTAACTTATCCTACTTTCTATTTAACAAATATCTAAATATGTATAATAGGTGATTTTTAAAACTGCCTATTGAAAAACAAAGCCTTATGAATTTGTCGAATATATATTAACTTATTGTATTGTAACTAGAAAGTGAATATTACCAATTAAAAAGCATTAAAGTTGACAAATGTTATTAAATTTTCATTATTTGTCTTTTCATAATAGACATGTAATTGCGAAGAATTAAAGAGATAAAACGAGCCACTCAATTCGCTTACTATAATTGTTGAGAATGTAGTTTCCTCTTTTAATAGAACCAATTTGAAGTATTTTGTAAATATGTTGAAATCGAAGTTATTGGGTAAATTTCCAGTAAGCGGCAGATTATTTTTTCTTAACTATTTCATATAATATGAATAATTATTCATATTAAATATCTACACGTACAATTTCATTGTAATCTATTATTTTATTGCTGAAACTGTACATAAACAATGTAAATAAACTTCAAATTTTCTACTCTTGAGTGTGCATACATTCTTAACCATATTTTTTAATAAAAACTAAAAAATTCAAATAATATCTATATCTTATAACAATTAAAATATCACATTTAAATATATATTATAATGAGAATTATTCTTTCCTCGCGTAATGTGCGAGTGTAAAGATGAACAAATTTTATACGACAAATATATATATATATATATATATATATATATATATATATATATATATATATATGCGTGTGGGTGTGGGTGTGGGTGTGTGTGTGTGTGTTTAATGACTTTTTAAAGCCATAAATTAATCTTAATAATCGTGACAAAATATTTATGTAAAAATGAAAATAACATTTTTAAATTGAAATGTTTATTTAAATGCTTAATAATACATATTTAAATTATAGTTTTAAAATTCGATAAACTATTAATATAGTTTATACATTGAAATAATATACAGCGAAACATGTTTTTATCATAATATTCAATATTTATTATTACCGTTATATTTACATCATTTTATTATATTAGTAAACTTTTTTTGTATATCAATGACTTCAATAATCGTTTTTATAAAAAAATGAATGGATATATTTAAATATATATATATATATATATATATATATATGTGTGTGTGTGTGTGTGTGTGTGTGTGTGTGTGTATGTGTGCGCGTGTGTGCGCGCGTGTGTGCGCGCGTGTGTGCGTGCGTGCGTGTGTGTGTGTATGTAAGTTTATAGTTAGATAGAATTTTAATGGACGGTGGCCATTTTTTAACTAATTAAGATATGTTTCGTATCAATGGATGACATAAAACGGTTATGCTTTTGAAATTTTATGGTGATTACTTCTTTAACTTTAAATTTATATTATATCTAACATACAATTGTAGCTAAACAAGCATTTTTTAAATGAAATGTTAATAAATAATTCAGTAAGTTTCATAAAAATTATTGAAAAAATTGAATCCAAAATAAAGTTTTTATAATTTTTAACATTTTAAGTATTTATTTTCGTTAGTTATTCGTATAGATAAATATGAAATATATGAATTTGTATTAATTGAAGGATAATTTTGTAATTAAAATTATTTTGTATAATTTTTTTAGGTAATTTCGAATTATTTCGAATGCTTTTGTTTTCGATTTTAACTAATTGGTACTAGCATATAGTAACTTCTATTTTTATTTATTCTTTAAGAATATTATTATGCAAACACAATTTGATATTGCAAGATTAAATTTTATAATTTAAATAATACACCATTAGGGCGTAATATTTTACTTGTTCTGTAAACATAAAATTCTTTTATTATTGGGTCTTAGTAAGAGCGAATTTCTAATTTTTACATTTCTCACAGAACTGAAATTAATTGGAATAATTAATAATTTAAGTTTTATGGGGACTTTTAGTGTGATAAATTAACAAATTCAAATTTTTGATATTTTTAAATGATTGCGTAACAGAATTTCTTTCAATTGGCCTTCAAAGGACACGTAACAATGATCCACAGTAAATTTGATTTAGTCAACGGACATGAAATTCTACAAAATTACAAAACTATAAACTATTTATTGTATTGCAAAACAAAATAAAACGAAAAAACAAACAACAATGTTATTGATGGTATGATAAAAGTAATGCAAGCCTCATTTTTATTACGGATGAATGTACGTGGAGTAAGTAAGTAATAGTATCAAGGATATTTCTAATCATAACGAATCCCCTCCGAAGTACGGTAGTTATTTTATTGGTTTATTTAACTTATCACAATTGAACAACTGTTAACACATAAGGCATTGTAAGCAACGAGTCAAAATAAGTCGTTAAATATGCTTATTAAGTTATTTTTGAAAATGTATTTATTTAAAGTAGAACTTTTGAAAAAGTCAATTATTGTATTTTCAATAAAGAATTAATATTACATTTCATCTGTAACAATTGTTATGGATAATAATAATCGTTATTAAGAGTAGTGTTATGCTACCACGAATCAGTCAATCGGAGTAAAATTGTCTGTTATATAGTAGAAAAGAATTTTCAATTAAACATTTACTAAAACTTTAAAATATTTCTAATTAATTGAATGGCTGCACTGTAAAAAATTTTTCTCGACTGTACGTAGAATTTATACGGAACGTGCGTAAAAATATACGTTACAAAAGTTATAATCTAACTATTATCAATAACATATCGTGAATTTAATATTTTATTTTAACACGTATCTATTAATTTGAAAATTTCTACATATAATTACAACGCAAATAATTTTAACATACATATTTTCACATACTCACGCACGCAAGCGCGCACGCACACGCACAAAATACATGCACATAGGCACACGAAGTGATATATATATATATATATATATAGAGAGAGAGAGAGAGAGAGAGAGAGAGAGAGTGAGTGAGTGAGTGAGAGAGAGAGAGAAACATCTTTGTAACGTAATTTATTTTATGAAAGCCTATTCTCTTATTAATTTTCATTATTTCTAATATATCTAACAGATTTTATAAAATATTATTTGTCTACCTGAGAGTAAAGTTTTGTCGAAATTATAAATAAAAGAAAAAAGGATCATTTACATTAAAATATCACAAATATATTTCTTAATTTATGTATTATTAATTTATGCTTAAGTTTTATTAAGTATTTTAAAAAGGCATTTTTTGTAACGTTCTAATAGATATTGTTATAAAAATATAAGTAAATGTATGTTATTGCAATAATTGTATTTATATACATACATATGTCAAGTATTATATTACTTTAAAGTGAATGATTTTGATTTATTATATAAAATATATATAATCGACTATTGTTGTTGTAATATTAATATTAATTAATATCTATCAGTATACCGTAAAATTTTCGTGGTAATTTTATATTACTAATTTTTTATGCATATTTTATTATTATTCATTATGCGAAGAAAATTTATTACAACTAATAATAATATAATATAAACAAAATATTCTAATAATTCTTTAGGTTTACGGAATATGTATGTAAATATTAATTTGTACGTGCATTGTGAATTGAAAGAAAATTTTTGTTTTGTTTTAATGCCTTTCCATAAACTTTATATGTATGCCGTAGAAAAATTATTGTCCACAATCTCAATTTCAAAATATATCTTAAATGCTTTTAATATTTCACATGATATATCATGTCGTTCTCGTATGGTCTGTTTTCTTAGTCTACTACTTATCTATACAAATTTTTTTAATGAAAAAATATACTACTCGGCTTGTACAAGTATAAATTATTAATAAAAACAAAAAAAAAATGAAATAAATAAATAAATAAAAAAAAATATATATATATATATATACATATATATATCGGTACTACGTATTATTATTCAAGTAGTTTGTGAAATATAATATTTTAATTTTTTTTTTTTTTTTATAATACAATAAAGATTTAATTTACGTTGTAATGTTAAACAAAAAAAAAAAAAAAAATAATACAATCTTTGGCGTAAGTAATTTTGCGCTTCAAAATGCTTTCGAATAAAAATTTTTTTAACATATAAAAATAATTTTATTCAGTTTTCGCGCATATCGCATAAATTTCAGTGAAAAATAAATTATGAACTTACAATTAATATTTTATTATGTAACTATAAAATATTTTAAAACGAATTGTAATCAGATTTAATACGAAGTAAAACAAATCGTTGTGTTTTTTTTCAAATTTGTTTTTTTTTTTTTTTTTTTTTTTTTTTTTTTTTTTTTTTTTTTTTTTTTTTTTTTTTTTTTTTGCCTGTGCTATTATAAACGCATTATATTATACATAATATTGTACAAATTAATTTTCACATCATTAAGAAGTACCTATTATTTATTTTTGCAGAAAACTTAGTGAAAAAAAAAAAAGAAAAAAAAAAACTACAAAAAAAAAAAAAAAAAAAAATAAAAAAAAAAGAAAGAAAGAAAGAAAGAAAGAAAATAGTATAACAGTTTCTTTTATTGACAAATTTTATTTTGTTAACTATATATCAAGGTTATCAACTAATTATTACGTATTGTTAACGATTGTTCTTGGCTAGTAAAATTTCGATACTGCTTTTGTGAATACAAAACTCTATATATCAAAGTATGTTGTAACGTTTACGATCTATTTTAAATTTTACGGAGTTTGTACAGGTATCGTTCGTTTCACCATATTGATTGTAATTAATTGAAATTGATTAATATGCGAGCAAAAGTCCATATCCTTATTAGCTACTGTATTATATTAGGTAAGAAAAAAGGAAAGAATACTTTTTTTTTTTTTTTTTTTTTTTTTTTTTTTTTATTATTATTCTTATTATTCTTATTATTATTATTGTTTTTCTTTCTTCTTTTTTTTTTCTTTTTTTTTTTTTTTTTTTTTTTTTTTTTTTTTATTATTATTCTTATTATTCTTATTATTATTATTGTTTTTCTTTCTTCTTTTTTTTTTCTTTTTTTTTTTTTTTTTTTTCTTTTTCTTTTCTTTTAAATATTTTACACATTTTACATATGAGAAATGAGAATGTAATGAGAATTAGAATCAATACTCTCTCGATATTGTAATGATATTATTATAATAAGAGCATATTTTTATGAAATAGGAAGCCAATATGATTATATTAGTACGAAGCCAATGATAGGACGTAATGTGCAAATAGCAGCAGAAAATGAATATCCATTTATTGTATCAATAATTCGAATTAGTCAGCACAATACGAACTCTGTATTACATTGTTGTACGGGTTCGTTAATTACTAGAAAAGATATTGCAACAGTCGAGCACTGTTTGGAGAATGAACAAGAAGACTCGATGCGAGTAGTTGTTGGTGCAGTTGACTATAGACAAGGTGTTAGATTTCCCATACAGTGGTGGATAACGTATGACGTTTGGGCTATATTTAATGGTATCGCGATTGATTTTGAAGTAAACGATGTTGCTAATATACGGGTAAAGTACTCATTAAAGATATCGTATTAATTATATCGAGATATAAATAGAAAAATTGACTAGCATAATTAATTTATGTATTTATACATTATATATATATATATATATATATATATATTATTTATATATATGAAAAATTATTTTCATTTAGATGATTCACGCAGTACCTAATGCGATACCTCGATTGCCATTTAATAATGGACTAAATTATAGATTATATGGGAAGTCGGCTGAAATGGTAGGATGGGGCTTAGATAATGGAACGGTAATCAATCCAGTATTGAAAAAGGCAACGGTGAGAGTTTTAACAAACAGAGACTGTGTTGCTATTGTTTCACGTCTTGCATCCCGGACAGTTGCTCTAGACAAACGACAAGCATTATGTGGTGCCGCACACCCTTATGTAATAATGACATTGGTAAGTGGCGATTTCAATGCTTCTGATAAATCAAATTATTGAATAAGATAATTCGGGCTATAACGACGCATTTGTGTCTATCCAAAGCAAGATCGCTTGAAAATATTAATGTTTTGCATGCTGTATGATATACATTGCCTTATCATATTAAATTAACAATCGATATTATTGAATTTTTAATTACGGGTATTTTTTTCTTTTCTTTTCAATCTCAAAAGTTTATATACCCAATTGGTCATTTAAATACGATTATACGCGTGCGCATGTGTCTATGCTTACGTGCCCCATCTGTAACAACGATGATTATATTTTCAGGGAGATAATGGCGGTCCACTTGTCTATAAAAATAAACTAATAGGTATTACTAAAGGAACTGTGCCAGCATCAATACCCGTGACTGATCCAAATTTAATAAATCTTTATATGTCTATTGAATACTACAAACGCTTCTTTTATTCTAATATGGATATTGCCAATATTTGATTTACGTATTTATTCTTAAATACAGCAAAAAGAAGAAGAAGAAGAAGAAGAAGAAGAAGAAGAAGAAGAAGAAGAAGAAAAAAAGATAATTGTACACATATGTAAATATAAAAGAAAATTAAAATACTATTAGTACAATGTACGACACTATACGTAACATGTATCATAAATATAATAATATGATAAATAATGTATGTATGTGAATAAATATTATTATATTGATTATGTTATTTGACTTATAAGATGTTTTTTTTTTTTCTTCGTTCAATCATAATTGTATTTTTTAATATATTTCAATATATGTTAATATTATCTCTGTTTCTATTTTTTATATTTCCTCAGTTCATAAATACAGTAATTAATATTTATTATCCATATAGAATTACATTCTAATAATTCTTATTCATTTTATATAAAAAAAATTTTTATTTATCATAATGTTTAAAATAAAGATTAATTGATTAATTGATATAATAAAATTTGCAATTCAGCTACATTTTTACGCTTGACATTTCTCTGTTGACCTGATTAAGTACAAATTGATGTATATATATATATATATATATATATATATATATATAATATCAAGTTCTTATATCATTTTTTTTATCAACTCTTCATTATGTAATAAGCTATTTATCTAATAAAATAGCTAATCTTGAAAGAAACTAATCTTTAATTAATTAAAATATTATGTGGAATGCTAGTAATTATAATTTTAATTTTGAGATAAATATATCCTGCCTGACTTTATATTATTGCTTTAAGTATTATTATTAGTACGAGTATTAGTGTTCGTGTTTTATGTATTTTAGGTATCATATTTAACGAACGTAATGTTGTTTTGCCATGCGTCATACCATTTGTTCTTATGAACTTATTCAAATTAAACAGGTTATAAAACTTAAATATGATAATTAAAATTTTCGAATAATAATACTTTGAAAGTATTAGAAGATTTATAGTAGTTGCAATTGACAAACGCCAAACAGTAATTAACTTGTCGAAATTTATACGTAAAATCATAATCGTAATTTTGTATTATAATTTTTAATATAATTTTATCTATTTTATGAACGGAGTACGATATTTTGTGACACGCGACAAATAGTTTTAGATTTACACGCAGAGTGTAAATTAATATAAATATAAATCAAGTTTTAAATTAATTGAATCTACTGAAATATATTAATATATCAATATTGTTAGGAGATAATAAAAATGTAAGGAATTTCTCTTACTTGAATGTTTTTACTCTTCTTGTTTGTCTTCCTTTTCATGCAATTTTAAAAACTAAATTTCATTTACCTATTGCGATGTTTATAATTGAGCAGATGCAGCAACTTCGGAATCCTGAACAGTATTTCATAAAACCATTAATTAGATTCCTATAGTTGTTGAATAGTTTAATGTGAGATCTTATAGCAAATATAAACTATTTTTATTTTTTATGGATAATGTAAGAATAATAATATAACAATTCGTATAATATTTTATTGTTTGAGAATTTCAATACTCGAGAATTTTCACGATATAAATCTTGGGAATAATTGGAATTTCGAAAATGATAAATTGTACTAATTACACGAAAATGTTTGTCTACTTGTACATTAAGAGGTTCGTTTATCGAAAAAAAAAAAAAAGGCACTATTCTTAAGCAATCTATAGTACTAACTAAGCTGTAAAGTAACTTTTTTTTTTTTTTTTTTTATTTTTTTTTATTAAAATACTATTGTTATAATATTTATTAATATAAAATTTTTTAAGAAATCGTCTCAAACGCTAATTACGGTTACAGATAGATTATTATGGCAAATTTATAAAAAAAAAAGTAATATTGCAAATGCCCTTCTTTAAAATTAATTATACTAATATTTTAATATATATATATATATAAATGCTATATAAATGGAATTATATTGAATTTTACTTGAAAACTTGTCCCATCTAAAATTTGTTAATCTTTATATTTCGATTGGATACTACAAAATACTTTTCTCTAACACTATATTTTTTGCTAATCGTATTTAGATTATTTATTTAATTTCAAGTAATTAGAATATATTCTATGCTTATGTACTGATGCAATTGTCAAAATATTTATAAAAATTCATTACCTGCTCAGCATGTCTCATCTTTGATTCGATGAAAATTTATATTTCTATGAAACCAAATTTTTTTTTGAAATTTTAAATAGATACTTTACTAAGAAGCTATATTCATATTGTTTTAATATCTTATCGTTGAAATTGAAAGAATGATATATGAATAAATATAATTGATAAAATTAATCTATCGTTATTAAATTAAACAATGAAGCAAGTTTTTAGAACGTAGACGTTCCTTTTATCATTTGAAATGCAAATATTTGCGTAAATTAAATGAAATAAATTCAATTATTTTCGCTTTATCAAATTATTTTTAATAATTGTAGGAGCTCACTAAAATTAAACAAAATTGATTAGAAAAATAAGGATCAAGCACTGCTCAACGGTTCAATGACTTGATAAATTATTATACGATATGGAAATGAAAATATTATATAATACCCGAGGCAATAATTCATATTCGTTATAATCCCATGCGCGCAGCATAAATTTTGGAAATCAAATATCCGATATTCTCCACTCATCGCATAAAAATATTAATAATTAGCTCGTTTTTAAAGGACAATTATTTCGTTTCCCTTACTCTCCTATCTATTAACCATAATCCATTAAAGCATTTTTCTTTCTATTTTTGAGTGTGAGACTTTATATTAAAATAAAAATCTATGCGTTACCTCAATTATTATTCCCTTAGCTATAGAAATAAGCCTTCTTAAGGTGAAAAGATTTTTTTTTTTTTTAAGCTATTCAATGAAGGGACAATAAGAATGCTCCTTTTCTATTAGTAGAGGATGAGATTTTGGTATTTCCGTACTGTACTTATTAATCTAGAATATTTTTTTATGTAAAAGTGACAATATTATATAGTTATTATTATATTTCATTGTAAATAATTTAAAATTAATCAAACATGCGCATAAATATATATATATATATTTATATATAAAAAACAATGTAGAAAAAACAAAGTCAGATCTGATTGAATTGATCTGACGTGAAACATATGGAAAACAAATTTTTTAATTGTTATGTTTGTGTTATTTCATATTCTTTTATATAAATGTTTATTACTTCCATATAAATCTTTAATTTTTCATAAATGCATATTTTTCAGTTATCCAAAATTTTTTTACTATCAAATTTATGTATTCTGAAAAAAAAAAAAAAAAAAAAAACATTAAAATAACGATCGCAAATTATTAAATGCAATACACAAATTTCGATCAATAACACGATGTTAACATCAGTATATCGGGTACAAAAAATAAATAAATAAATAAATAAATAAATAATAATAATAATAATAATGAAGTAATTATATTTAGAAAATATAAAAATTGAAAGTGTGCATTGTTAAGAAAAAAGATATTTTTTTTTCAATTAATTTTAATATTTTTACTTAAATGAAATTGTAAATATAAATCCTTTTCGTCTTAAATTCTAACTAATGAAATATTTAAGGTGTCGATTAGGAAAAATAACAATTAAAAAATCTTAAATTAAAAAATCTGTATGGTTGTGAAGAGATTATTTATTAATCTAACTGAGTATATACATTAAATGTTTATTAAAATAATATGAATAAAATTACTCGCTTTTTCATCATTTTTAACAAATCTTTAATAATAAATAAAATTGTGAAGATAAAATGTAAATACAAAATTCATTGATTATTTTAATATATAATTAAGATTTATTATAATTAACTTTATGTATGTTCATTAGAATAACAATCAATTGATATCATTGATTCTCGTTCAAAAATATTCAAAAGAACTTTGTATATTAGAAAAAAATTTTCTTAATAATTAATAAAATTCATAGAAATTACTAATTCATAATAATAAGAAGATAATACGAATTTTTGAATTTTTTCTATGTATGAATCTATGTATGAATGAAATAGTCTGGATTTTTTTTTAATGAATGTTAGCTCATTAATTTTTATTATTTATTCAAATAAAAGTATGATTAGAGTTATGATACCTTTGAATATATATTATTATATTATATAATATATATTATATAATTGTAGCACTACATCAATTTGAATTTGAATAGTTTTTGTTTCGAATTCGATTCATAAAAAATATAATAGAATGCGCATGTACTTCATATACTTATTTTTATTTACTCATGATTATTTTTAAGTGTAAATAAAATTAAGAAATTAAATTATTTATTTATATAATATCGATAAATTATTTGTAAATTTAATTATTTAAATAAAACAATAATGATGATTAATCAATTGGATTTGCATCTATTTGTTTAATTGGAAATGTTGAGTATAAACAAAGTACTAAAATATGGTTTATTAACGAATTCGTAAATTACTCCTCAAAAATATATTAATGTATGTTGTACCTATTTGATTTATAATTAATTATAAATTTTTCTCTTAATTATTTATCATCTAGTCACTTTTTACGTATATAAACCTTATTTTAGATAACAAAAAACCCGCCCGCGGATTATTTTATTCATGATTTCAGATACAATTTTTGTTCATTTAAAATATTATATAAAAATTAAACATGTTCTAAACTATTGTTTTTTTTTTATATAAATATATATTCGTTACTTTAAAATTTTTTTATATTAGTAAGTTTATTTATACTTTATGTTACTTTAACATTACTAGTTATTACTAGAGCTTACAAAATCAATTTATTAAAAAATTCAAATAAAAATTGTGAGTATATAATTGTATATAATAATAGAGAATTTGTTACTAGTAATGTAAAAAATAGATTTATTTCAAAATTCCAAATAATAGATAAATACATAATACTTATAATATCGATTTTAATACCTTATTACATAAATTATTATTATTCATACACACACACACGCACGCACACACACGCGCGCGCGCGCACACACACACACACACATATATATATATATATGTATATGTATATACCAATAATAGGAAACTAATATTAAAAATACTCAAGTACTACATACATAATATTAAAAACTGAATATAATAATTAAATTTGAATTACAGTAATGAAAGCAAATAATTGTTCGATATGCTAAAAATATTATTAATTAATAAGGTATCGTCGTTATAGCAAACGTATCGTAATATATATTTAGTATTAATTTATTATTAATTAAACGCATTTTGAGTAATAAATTTGCACAATGAAAAAATCATTCGTGAAAATTATAAAAATTAATACACTCTCTATTCGCACAGAAAATTCTTATTCTAATTATAATGATTATTAAATTTGTTTACTAAAATTTCAATTATATAGAATGTATATAAATAAATGTTATGTAATTTATTTATAATCAATTTCCAAAGCAATAGATAGTTATATTTATTTTTTTTTTATTAAAACATTTTAATATATTTAATTTTATATAATTCTATTTTTAGAAAAATAAGAATTTTGTAATGTAATTTATGGTATTTCTGATTTTTAAGATTATATGTAGATGCATACATGTAATTGTATGTACTCATGCATGAGAATTGATTTTTTAAATATATCATAATCCGAAATTAATCTATACGTAAGGACGTGTCCGGAAGAGTTTAAAAATTTCTCTTCATTCATATAATATTTATCATTAATTATAAGAAAAATATATTGATTATATTACATACATTTATATCTTTCATTGCCTTTAATGTTATATGTATTTGTATATTGATGAAAACATGTAGTATCATAAACATAATTTTATTAAATATATAACTAATTGCTTCGTTTACTTTAAGATTAATTCTAATTAGAAATTACAAGTATATTTACATAGTATGTTTTAAGAAATTTGCATAATTTGTTAAAAAAAATCAAGTAATCTATTAGATAGAATTTATCATAGTCATATATTATAAATTCAAGAATTTTATTTCATAACATTTTGACAGATAAATTTTCGTAATTTCAAAATTCATATATTCATTTTACAGAATTTAATCATTTAAATTTAATAAAAGAATGTTTAATAACGAATAATTTGTTTACAATATGAGATATAGGACAATGTCTGACATAAGAGTCGTCGGTCACATTTTACATTGAAACATAATTTTCATATGAACAGTTACAAGATTTATAAAAGTTACAGGAACGTTTTCTAATACTAGAATATATGAGTGAACATACGAGCAAAATTCTGGTATACTTCTTATTCATTTTAAAAATTATTTTGTATTTGGCTCTTTACTCTTACATTTTAAATGCATTTTATTACTTTCTATTCTCACATAATTTAATATTTATTTCAAATTTATATATTTTCATAAATTTTCTAAAACAAAACAATAAAAAAAAAATATTATGTTGTTTGAATATTCTAATTTACGAATGTACAGATGCATTTTAGCTCATTCATTATCTTTGGTTGTTTCTTAAATTTCGATTTCACACTTTTCATAATTTAGATAAAAACCGTATTTATAGATTTGAAAAAAATTAATAAAAGTAAATATAATAGTAAAAGGATGCACAATTTATCTTTCAAATGAAGAAAGGGATTGATTTCGTCGTCAATATTACTCTCTCTCTCTATATATATATATATATATATATATATATATATATGTATCACTAATAATGTTAATTTTATTAATAAATATATAAATTAGTTGGTTGTTTTTCATGGACTAGTTCTGCTGGTATTTTATATATGGTATACACCCACACCCATACACGCATACAAAAGCGGGCGCGTGCACACACCCACACCCACACAATATATATATACTTGCATATATTCCGCGCTCGTATATTAATTAAATGTTCTTCGATTGATCGACAATAATAATGATTTAAATGAAAATATTTTCAAACGCTCATTTTTAAAGTACTGTCAATTCAAGACAAAATTGCGAAACTAAGAATTATTCATTTCGATGCTTTTTTTATTGTCAAGAGAAATGAAACGGGGAACATCCGAGAATTAATTATGTGAATAATGAGCTGGATTTGGATAATTATTATTATATGATTAGAATTATATTCTAAGATACATTAAGAATGTATACTGATAAATTATAAAATTAATACATAGTTTTTTACGGCATTTAAAAAAAAAAAAAAAACACTTGATTTTAAATGACCGTAATTGTAATTTTATCATTCTTCACGAATTCGCCTAAAAATCTCATTATAATTAATTTTGTAATTAATTCTAAGAGTTTTAATCAACAGTTCACGCTTTTCATGATTTTGAAAAATAATTAATTTTTATTATGATTTATTTTATTTGTCAATTGTGCAGAACTTTTAACAAAAAATCAATTTTTGTGTCAAATATTGGCAATTAATTAGCTATACGTAGTATAATAGATTTGATATCGACATTTTTATATTTTACTAAACAATTAATCTCTTAAAAATTTTAAAGCTTGTGTCTTGTTTACATAGTTTCCATCAATTATTGCAGAAATATATCTTAATATAATTTTATGAAATCTATGCAAAATATACAATGTATCAAGCTTAATACGATTATATTCCGTGTAAAAAAATTAATTTTACATAATAACACTTTCTTACAAAAATTTATTACCGACATCATTATGTCTTTCGACTTAAGAAACAAAACTTTTTATAAAAATTTTGATTATTAATAACAATATATATAATAATAAATAATAATTTAATAGAAACATTGCAATGCTCTATAAATAAGAAATAGTGTGAGATCCATCATTTCTTTATACAATAAAAATACTTTATTTGCCATATTTTTTTTATTCATAAATAAAGATTAATATAACTTATTAAAATACAAACTGTATTTTTTGAACGAATAAAAGTTGTTGAATCCTATATTTTTTGAAAATTAAATGAAAAAATGAAGATAACTTTTAAAAAAATTATTTTCAAAGGTGTTATCTCAATTTACGTCACGCAATTAGAATGGAACTGACATTTGTCTTTTATATGTCGAGGTGATGCGATTAATTTAAATTCTTCATTATTTGGAAAATTTGTAATTGCAATGGAAATTTTATTATTATTAGCAATAATTTTGATTATAGATAATGTGCATTATCTATATCTTCAAATCCTTTCAAAATAAATAAATAAAAAATATTAATAATAGGAAAAACAAGCTAACTAACTGACCCATAACTATTATTTTGATCAATGTATATTTTTTTGAATTTATGATAATTTTTATAGTAGGCTTCTTTTCATTTGGATTACAAAAATTTATTCTAAAATAAGAGAAAATATTTTGGTCAAGGCAATGCTCACAATTTAACCTAACATAACGCATATTATACCGAATATATATCATTAATCGATTAGTTATCAAAAATTCATGATTAATTAACTAGTTTTTAGTTTTAAGGATTTAATAATTAATTTAATAACGAAGCGCTATTACATTTAATTTGTTTGTATTTTACAAAGGGAAATTTTTCCAGCAAATAGGTTTCAGTAAAATTTCTTGTTAAACCACGTAATACTTAGCAGTATAATCGAAAATTTTATTTTCATAAACTATAGCTGATAGAGATCGATATTTATAATGAAACTACCATTTATATGATAATTAAGAAAATATTCACCTTGTAGCAAATTTAAAGTTACCTTAAGCATAAACACTTAAAAAAATATAATGTTATACAAATATTAATGAGTTTACGTAAATTTCAGTGTATTCGCCGGATAATGAATGATCTGGTAAAAAAAAAAAAAAATTGTTGTTGGATCGCTGTTACACGAGTGGGATCGATTTTAAAATTATTCAATCTTAAATTATTATAATACTAGACAGGCCAATCTTATAAATATAACGAAGTGCATCATTGTAATGAGAGCATAAATATATGATTTTACAGTGTCAATACACTTAGAGTGAGATAGATAGATAGATAGATAGATAGATAGATAGATAGATAGATAGATAGATACGATAGATAGATAGATAGATAGATAGATAGATAGATAGATAGATAGATAGATAGATAGATAGATAGATAGATAGATTGATAGATAGATAGATAGATAGATAGAGAGAGAGAGACGTCAGGTGACGTATATTTGGCTACATTGTATATCATTCGGCTCCATACATTTCTGCAAAATGTTGAAAATAATGTCTACGTGTGCTCGAGAAAACAAAACGTATGGCTAAATGTGCAGATTCGTAGGTGGAGCGTCGCGGGCGCTTTGGGCCGCATTGTAAGTCCGTCTAAGAGGATCGACGAAGAATGCAGGAGCAATCCGATTGTTGGTCCCTAAGAATCCGTTGACCATTCGCGAGGATATGCCGTTCTGCAGGAGCTGCCGGGTTTCACTCTGCTTCGGGCGCTGCCGGTAGCCCGGAAGGATCCCGTTTTTCAGAAGTTGCATTCCTCCATCTAAAGAGAGACATTTTTCATACTGATCAGGCGCATGTCACTGTTGCTCACCGGCTTTCGCCCTAAGTTATCGAATATTTAAAAAATTCTGATTTAACAAAGTGGCTCGATTAATCAAGTGCATTTGTATTCCTTAATATATATATATATATATATATATATATATATATATATATATGAGCCTTGTGTCACTTTGTAATGCAGCGCTACTGAGTTTATGAAATTGCAGGCGCAGACTTTTGCAACATTCTAATGACAGAAAATTCGAAAAATATTCGATATCTCGTGTATTATCATTATTATAATTATTGGTAATTTGGACTTGGAAAGATGTACGAGGGATTATTATTAAGTCTCGCGAATAACTTAAACACAATTCGGATTTTGCAATTTAATTATTCTGTCTACGACGAGTACAATTAATTTATTACGAATGATGAATCCCTTTTAATTTTCATCACAAGGAGCTTACATCCTTGAATTCGAATTAGAATAGTAAATCCTAAATATTCGTTTAAAGAAACTCTATCGAAAACGTTCGTTTAAATGCGCGAATCGATAATGCTCGATCAATAGTGTAAGTGGACCGCGGTGAGGGTGCGGACATTAAGGATTAAGGATGCGAAGTTTGGGCTGACAAGGAAGTACCGGTAGGCTCGCTGTCGATGACCTTGGCCATTCCGTTTGGCGTTTTCCACGTAGCTGCGTGGGTGGCATCATCCGTAGTCTCGATAACGCTGATCCTGTTGGGCTCATCCTCGTTACGGGCCGCGCGCCGCATAAGCTCCAATAGGGCCGAGGCGAATTGCTGCCGGTCCGCGGGCAACTCCGTCTCGCCGTCGACGATGCTCAGTCTGCCCTCGGCGTCGAGGCTCTTGAGTAGCGGGAGAGCAAGCTCCCCGAAGAGTTCGAGTCTACGAGCGAAGGCCTCGGTCTCGTCGTAAGGTCGACCTCGTTCCGGCTGGAGCCTCGACACGTCCAGCAGCAGCATATGCGGTTTCACGCGGAACTGTGGGACGATAACGTCGAATTACATTCATATGACGCAATTGTGCTAGCTTACTTTCCCAATCCGTTGCTCATTTCCTTAAATCAAGGACAGCCCGAATAATCGCCCGAGTGGAAAACTTGGGAATTGTCGCATAGTGTAGGCAAAATCTTTCAATCGATCAAGTGAATAGATAATTTCTCTTTCTTTGCATATGTTTATTATGTTTGCGTCGTAAATGTAATAAATAATCGATAGGAGTTCGGGAATGGGCCTTTGAAATTTCAATTCGCTAGCATTCACTAACACAATTACTCACGTAAATGTCAAGAACGAAATTGACCCAATAAATTTGAGCGTGACAGGCAAAATTATAAATCTTATTAAGAATATTTAAATAAATGCAATACAATTGTAAGTGAATGTTTGGACATGTGAGTGACGTGAGGGATATTAAACAAATGGGAGCTTCGTGTAATTGGTAATGGTAATGGTAATGGTAATGGTAATGGTAATGGTAATGGTAATGAATGGCGAATGAAAATGATTCACACCTTATTTTGGAACTCCCGAGCTTGTTTTAAATCTCTAGGGAAACCATCGATGACAATTCCACTGCTTTTACGATTGTCCCTAATTTGCTGCTCGACCAACTTAATGACGATATCCGACGATACCAATTCGCCGGATTTAAGTGATTCGCGAATTTTCGCATCGCCCGTGGACATTGTAATTAAATGGCTGCTTATACTTAGGTGAATCCAATTCGTCATTTTGCGCACGGCTTCGCTGCACACCATCGCCTTGTTACTTCCTGGCCCGCCTATCGTAACATTAACGTTAACAATTTTATACAGAATTTATTTATAATGCTCAGATATTATTATTTAGCTTAATGATGATATATCGCTTATGAGAATTGTAATTCGTAGGAGGCTTTTTAAATTCATTGTGCAATAATTTTCATATGAGAAGTCATACTTTCCAACGTTATATATTCGTCCGATAAGCTTGTAAATATTTATATAAATAATATTCGTTATATTGTACGCCTTGAATTATCAATAGATTTATGGGAAATTGTTTAAAACAAATTCTAATATAAAATTAACTTTTCAGTTCTATTTAGCATTATGACTAAGACTTGTGAATTACAAAGATGTTTTAAATGTATAATCATTAGTTCCAGCCCTTTAACATTCTAATTATTAAAGAATAAAACTAATTCTATAATAAAATAGTTTTTCTATATTTGAATTTTTATTTTTATAGCATAGGATATAAAATTCATAGGCCTATGGAAGATTTTCAGCTGACGATAAAAATTCTCCCTACATTAATTTAAATATTGTTTTAATAAATCTCAAAATATAATGGACAATAAATGGAATGATATTCTTATTATCAATATGTGTTTTTAGAATTTATTTTTTGAGAATTGCCAAACTTATAAGCGTTAAAAAGAAATATTTACTTAAAGTAAAGTTATATCCATTCGATTAAACGACGCTTAGATTTTATTGGACTTTTGGACAATTTTAATATTATTTATTTTGTATTAATAAATGTTTTTCCAACTCTTAAAGTGAGCCATAATTTTTATAAATTCAATGCTGTATTTACCCAAAACCCAGACAATCGGAGGAGGCATTTTCTTCTGTAAATCTGCCGACTTGGTCGGTGCAATTTCATCCTCAACGCGTGTAGATGATAATGAGTTAGGGGCAGCCATTATTTTTGCATTCTTTCGTGCAATATTTTCCTTATACTCGTCTTGACCTCGTTCAACGCTTACCTATCCAAGGTTAAGGCAATTACAAATTATACAATCTAGCATCATTATACGATTCATTTGCATTCACTTACTTCCGCTTCTATGGAACTTGAGACGTGCCTTTTCGGGGAAACAGTTTCGTCCGCGAGCCCTAGTATACGTAATACAGACTGTCTAAAATCTACATAAACTTCGGATGGAATCCGTTGGCCATTTACCTACAATGATAAAATAGTTTCTTTATAGGAAATTATAATCATTCCAAGTTTTTTTAGACATACCGATAGGAAAAGTTGATGAATTATCAAGGTTTTCCTCTAGTTGTTAAATAAGTAAAATAAATCGTTTCGTTGCGAGAACAATGCCGATTATTATTATTATTATTATTATTATTATTATTATTATTATTATTATTATTGTTGTTGTTATTGTTATTATTATTTTTTTATTATTTTTTTTTTTTTTTGAAAAATTCATTTCATTAAAACAGCTAAAAACTATTTAATAATTTTTTTTTACTCTATTTAACATTAGATTATATACTCCGTATTTCAGAATTTATTACGATTTTTCAAAAACTAGGCCTAATTACATAATTAATAATAAAAAATTGAAAAAAAAAAAAAAATAAAATAATAATTATATTATACGAACGATAAATAATATATTTTTAGTATTTTATTATCTCTATAATGATCGAACATCGTTCGTTTGGATTTTCTTTTTTTTTGGCCCACTTAATATACTATATGCCAACTTAACATACTCATAATAAAACAACTCAATTATTTATTTATCGGAGCATTGACTAATTCCCTTTGATTAACTTTAGCTTTGGAAATGGCCAAAATTAGAGATAATAATGTCTCAAAATGATTTACCGATATCACATATCTTATTTTTCTTATTATTTTTGAGTTTCGAAATACAAATTAAATACGAATTAAGCTAATAATAAATAATTAAACTTAATGATATATCATTAATATCGTATCTTATATATTGATTAATTATTTAAAGGCATTAATAATTTATGATAATCGATAATGTTGTCGTAATAATTGTTGCTTCGTGATTCCACGTTTTCACTTTTATATTACTTACCACGAGTAACATTTCACTTTGATCAAAATATTCAGCAACTGGTATGACGTTTTTATAAAAATTTTCCAGCTCTATTCTCGCTAATTCGATAATCACTTGGCCAAGTTGCGCTCCATAATCAATTTGCCTTTGCAGTACTTCTTGCTCCCACGCAACTAAAATCACACCATTGACTATTTGAATCTGCGAACAAATGAAAATTGCTCTGCCAATTAGTCGTATAATATCATTTATTCAAGCACGATTGATCCATATTTTGCAAAACATAATTTGCTGCATTATCATCGAAAATCTCCCAAAATCAATTTATTATGAAGCATAAGCTAATCTACATGCACGGCGTCCTCGGCAACTAGAACATTGAGCATTCGTAGTTACATATGCATCAACGTTTGCGCATCCGTTGAAGCGCGTGTATGTGCGTGGATGTTATTTGACAAGGAACGGGAACATCGAACATTACCACCATTAATCTATAAGCAGATAAGTATAGGGACAATATTCAGAGAGAGTGTGTATAAAGAATACGGAGTGGATAATCGGAATAGGGCAGTAGGTCGATCAAGTATCTGCTCCGAGTCTCAGACAACGCTCGTTGTCACCTTTTCTCCTAATTTTTCTTCTCTCTTTCATTACTGATCGACAGGTTGATCACAAAGCACGGCCTGTGCATTTATTACTCGATCACGCACACGGACGCTTTCATATTCAAGTAATGAACAATACTAAAAGTCCGTAATGGACATCCGCGGGTACAAACTTTGCAAGGACTCATTAATATATCAATGTCATACTAAAACTTTTTTTTTTTTTTTTTTTACAGACAATCCATTTTAAATAAATTTTAAGATTTAGTAGTTATATTATAAGGATAATGGAGTGCTTTCATAACTAGGAAAGTATTATTAATGTGGTTGGGGAGTTGGTGGGGTTGGGGGGGGGGGTGATGAATTTAAATAGCTGAATATTATATATTAACAAAGTAAAATTTCATTATTATTATTATTATTATATTATATACAATTATGTATTATATTATTACAATTAGTATATGAAATATATTTTTATTTTCTCCAAAAGAAACGTCTGGAATATTTAGTTCATAAAATTGGTGATAAAATAATTAATAGAATAAAAAACATTAATTTATTTTAATTTATTTTCAAATATGGAAAAAAAGTCTGTAGATAAAATATATTTAATGTTAGATTTATTATTTGTGCTCGGAAATATTTTAATGAAGATTACTACTATCGAAGTTTAAAGAAACAAAAAATATATATTATATATATAACATTTCTTGTTTTGATTTAAAATAAATTTTATTAAGAACTCGCATGACAGAATTGAAATTTTAAGATTTTCTCAAATGCTCTGAATAATATATGTGAATAAAAGTATATATATATATATATTTTTTTTTCTTCTTTTTTTACATGAACAAAACTAGATAAATATGTTTTGCTTTATATAACTCGTAACTTCATATTTTATATTAAATGAATAAATCTACTGAAACAACATAAGATAAAACTTATCGTACAACATTTTATATTAAGGAAAAATAAATATTTAAAATTCAATTTATAAGGAAAGAATTAAATAACTATTCATACAAAATTTGTCTGTCTTATTGAAATAGACTTAATGACAGTAAAAAAAAAAATAATAAACTGGTGCGTAAATATACCCGTAAATATATTTATGCACGTGTCACTACACACAGATTTAAACGTATAATCAATTAGTGTTGTGAACAATGTACGCACACAGACTAATAGTATCACTATTTTACAATATTACGTTCTTCTTACCTTTTCCGAGTACTCGACAACGTCGCGCATGTTTCTCGGATAACCACTTACGAGAAAAGTTTTGGCCCCTAGAGACATTTTCATTTCGAGCATGAGAACTTCAGTGACAGTCTTACTGCTCAGTAATCCAAAATCCTTCATATCTGTAACATATAGTTTACTATCAGCTTTAAGAATGAAAATTCCTCGAGTTATTTAATACATACATACATACATACATACATACATACATATATATATGTATATATATATATATATATATATATATATGTGTGTGTGTGTGTTTTGTGTGCGTGTGTGTGGGTAAAAAGTTATATATTTTAATTCTGTTCAATTTAATGAATTAAATTAAAAAGGAAACATATTTTACTTAATATAATATTAATATCATTGTATTCAAATAATTAAATTACTTTATCTTTGATCATTGATTTCAATCGTATAAATAATTTAAAATAAATTACTACATATCTGACATACAGCTATATTTAGTTATCAATGTATACTTAAATTAATTACTGTGATGGAATTTATTCAAGATATAATTGTTATTAATATTATATAGAAATATTAGAATTAAATTAATATTACTTCATAATCGCCAATCTATTCATATTATATTTGTCTTACATGTGCTATTCAATAAACTATTTGTGAGATATCTTTATGTATTATCATAAATATAATTTCCAAATAATGTTCTCGAAATTTCTAAGCATATAAACGTGAATAGTAATATAATAATAACTAATAACTAATTTATTTATCAAATAAGATTATTGTCGATATCGGTATAATTTTCAATTTAATGAGAAATAAATGTCGATAATCTCCATATTTGCATTTTTAAATTTAATTACCTACATCATTCGCGTTCGTCATTTGGCTTTTTTAATATATTTATTTATTTAATATCAATTTCTAAACCTCAATGAAATTATTAGAATTAAATTCATAACATGAGTCGATAATTTCTCATTAATTCGTTAAACTAATTGATACTCAACACATGCTCTGTGTTCCAAAATCTTTATTGGATCCTAAATAATCTAAATAATCTAATATTACAATCGATGTTTCATTTATTGATGAGAATATTGAGATTTTCATTCACAATTTATTAATCAAAATTCCACCTACGTTATCATTAACATCCATTATCCCAGTAATTATATATTTTTAATAAATATTTTAAAAATGTACTTAAAAGAAATTGAAAAAAGATTACTTAAATTATTTTTATTATTTTTTTTTTTTCAGCATTGAATGTTTTCTACACACATGCATTTCTATTGAATCTGTATATGATAATATATGACTTAAAAATCAATTATAACAGTTTAACAAATAAAACAAATTAGTAGTGATGCATTTATTATTACATGTACAATAATATTGAAATATAAAGTCAAGAACTGCGCATAAAAAATTATTGCTGTTTAAGTAATAGTTTAATATTATTGTTAATATTTTAATGATTTTCACAGACTGTAATTGTGATTTAACTTCTTATAGATTAATCTATATATTCCAATCAATGATTTTCATAGTTTTACACTTTTTAACGAATATTTTTATGTGGTGTATTTTAATAATCTCAGATAGAAAATAACTTATTATTACTGATATAGCCATATAATTTTCTAAACTTTAAATATACGGAAATTAATACTTTTTGTATAGAAAGTACACATCTGGTAATCTGAAATAGTAATTTCATGTGATAGGTAATTAAAAATGTTTTTTCATTACCTTCAGAAGCTACTGGACAATAAACATAAGAGAGTCCATTGTTCTATGTTCATAGTTATCGCTTATAGGAATATTATTTCATCGGATAATATTGGATCGAATAATATCGAACAACTTGGATATTATTTCATAACTAAAAAAATAATATAATATAAAAAAATAAAAAAAAAAACAAAAAAAAAGCTTTAAAGAAGAGATAAAATACGCACATTGTCTGTACTCGTAAAAAATTATTTTGAATTATTAGATGTTATCCCGAATCAATTCTTCGTACCTCTGAACATCAATAGTGTTATAAAAATTAAATTTACTAAAACTCTTCTCAAATAACCTCCTTCAATATTCAATTTGATAAAGATACAGGAAATATTTAAACAAAAAATTTGTATCAACCTTTTGATTGAAACAAATTAGAATATCTTTTATATTGAATATAAAGCCTTTTTAACTAATGTTATTATATATAATTTTGACATACAGTATTTTATTTATATGTTAATTTGTTATTAACTCAGCTTCAATATTGCTATAGATTTGAAATGGAATGACAAAAACAAATTGATATAAGTCTCATTTACAGAAATATACCTTCTGGTCTGTTGAAATCATAAAACTAAATACAGCAAGAGGGGAAGGGATACTTGACACATGAAATAATGAGACTAACTAATTTACATAAAGGTAAGAGGCATTGTCGATATCCAGAAGATTAACAAGAATCTGTCGAAATAATCAGGTCCATATGCATCTCACGTACATATGCACACAAATAGATGGTTTGAGATTGCTAAAACTATAAGCGGTATTTGTTCATAATCAATATTTTATTAATAAAAATATTTTTTTTTTTTCTAAATCTAAAAAAAGTATTAATATACATAAATAGGATTTATTTCACATATTTTATTGAAATTTGCATAATCAACATACATATACATATCTGTGTATGTGCTACTATAAATTTATGAATATTAAATTAATTTGTACGTGCATTAAACATTAAATGTTTTCAAATGATTTTTTCAACGATAAGCTATATAGCTTCGATTTTGAAATGCTTATATTTAATATTTCCTTAAAAGTATTACATTTATATATATATTTTTATTTTTAAATATAACGCTGTTAATAATATTGCTTACAATTTTATAAGTATTTTAATTACATAGCAAAGTACGTAAAATTTTAAATATTTTTGTAAATTATTACCATACTAAATAAGTCATATAAAATACATTATTTAAATTATGTATAAATATTTTTCAAATATTAAAATTTAATATTAATAGTATTTTATAAAACTAAAGAGAATTACATACAAACAAGAATACTTTTATTAATTTAAATTCAATCCTCTATTAATTATGAACTTTTTTTTATATGCGGTAATGAAAATAATTTTGCTGGTACCTTAAAGAAATTAGGCAAACATTCACGATAAATGCAATATGATACGAATGTACATAGATCGGTAGTAAATTTTCATGCATGTTTTTAATAATATAATTTTAAATTCTTGATGTTTGTAGATAGTCGCTTCAATTTGTGCATAATTCGTATTCACATTATGAAATATGATCGATGTAAATGAAAAAATAAGTAAATATAAATATACTTAAGAATTCAATAGCTCATTAATATCTAGGAGTTTCATTTGCATATGAAGTTGAATGATATATGATAGTATTAATATATATATATATATATATATATATATATATACACTATCTCGTACTCATATTCACATATTATTTATTTATTATTGTCGTAACAATAAGCAGATAAATATATATTTTTTATTTAAATTCGAATACGAGGCAAATATTAGATAGATTTTAATTACAAAATCTTTATGGCAAAGAATTGAATTTATTGATATTTATTGATAAGGAATTGAATTGAAATTGAAAAATATAAAATCCATAAGAATTATGAATATCATATACAATAGGACGGAGATAAAAAACTAAAATAATTGCTTCGTTTATATCTATTTAAACATATCGTATATAAGCAAATATTTGTTTTTATAAAGCATTATTCATAAGCGTCTGTTTCATCTTTTATTTTATAATATAAAAGACGAGTATTTACAATATATTTGATTAAATATTTTTAATTACACAGCGATTATAAAAATTTTTAATGTTTTAGCATGGGAATAAACGTTTACCTCCTTCTAGGCCTACAAATAATAATTTGTAAGTAATCGAAATCCTTTTAACGTTCTAAGCTTAATTTCCAAGACAAATAAAGCATAATAGGTGACAAATTGAATAATGTCATTGACAAATAACGTATGTTTTAATAAGGTGGCCGATATTCCTCAATCGTCGCAAAACCCCTGATAGGAGTTAATGTTAGAAGTGCAAGAGAAAATGAATTTCCTTTCATTGTATCTTTGATAAAATTCATTCCCAATGATCCACATCCTGAAAGGAATCATATATGTACGGGATCATTAATCACGAGAAGAGATGTTGTACTTTCTGCACACTGTCTGGAGGATGAACTTATTCATGGTTTGCAAATACACTTTTCATCGCTTAGTTTAAGATTTGGCCGACGAAGAAGTTTGTATTGGTGGCTAACTTATGAACACTGGGCTGTACGCAAAAGACTTCCACTCGAATTTGATATTAATGACGTTGCCAATTTGAGAGTAAGTTATTATTCACAATCTCATTAATTTATTATGCCACGATAATGATAAAAGTAAATATTCCAACTCCATATCCAATCATACTTGTTTTAAAATGCTTTTCAATTATTTTAATACGTGAAAGTAGTTGTTACACTACGTACCAGATACTATCGAACCAGTGCCAATTCCAAATATACGAAACCCGAGACTTTACGGGAAAAGGGTCGTCACTGCTGGATGGGGTTGGCAAAATAACACTCACCTTAACGTAATTTTAAAAGCAGCTGAATTAACTGTTTTAACCAACGATGATTGCTTTGAAAGAATTAGCAGACTTGCGAATCAATCTCTTCCACTAGATCCTAGGCATGTTTTGTGTACTTTCTCTAATCCACATGTAATACTGACTTACGTAAGTAACATTCACTTAAATAATAATCGTAATTATTAATCATAAATTATAGTCTTCGTTTAAAAATTAGAAATTTTGAATGAACAATAGATAATATATAATAGAAATTATGTGTAGAGAATTTGTTTTTATTAATAGAATGAATATTATACATTTTTCTTTAATTCTTCGTAATAAATAAATAATTTTTATAAATATTAATCGATATGATACCATTATAGATAGTACAGACTCACATTTTGTTTATATTATAAATAAAATAGCATATAAATAGAATAGCTTATTACATATCTAATATGTAATATACATATATATATATATATATATATATATAT